TATATATATATATATATATATATAAAAGATCATTTAGAGGGCAAGGCATAATGCACCATAAACAATCTGATACGAAATGTAAAAAAAAAATAATTTAATGAATTGAAAACCGAAAAGGAAACGTCGAAAAATACACAAAGTAAAGCTATTAAAAAAAACATATATTACCGAACGTTATCGTTTTAGCCTTCCAACGAAATACTGAGGTATACGAAATCTTCAAGTCATGTTGGTGGTCGTTGTATAACTTAGCTCCGAGGTAACGATACGGCGCCTCAAATCGAGTTGTATGATGTATGCAGAACAAGTACAAAACTCTAAAAATTTTTTGTCATTTGAGTATAAAAAAAAGTCGCAATTTTAAAAATTAAAAGATTGACATGAACATTATTTCATGAGCTTTTCGTGAAAACATTTCATTAAGGAAAATAATCCTGTTGGCAATGTTATAGTTAAGCGGTGCTTTTTTGCTTCTTTCAAAAATGCAAATAGTTCGTCGAAAATTAGATCTCCATCTTCTAACCGTCTATTGCTATATCCGAGGGAACAATTTAAAGAATAAAATTTAACCGATTTGGAATTTTTTTTAAATTGCATTCACTTCAAACAGGAAACTCAAAAACTACTTATAAAAAATATGGTATGGCCTTCTTAAAGATCTGTTTTTTTAAAAAATATTTAATTTAAGAAAATACTTTCTAGAGCCCTTGAGAAAATATTATTTTTATACATTGCATTAAGGAGACACGGGATGTCCTATGCTGTCATTGCTAAATGATTGAGTCTAATGATCGGAATCTATTGAAGTTAGGCTTATGAAATTTGAACAGGTTACGATGTAACGCTCTTAAATAACACTGAAACAACTGTGTTGAAACATGTTTACAGTTTTTGTAAATAAAAATGTTTTCTCATAATGAAATTTTTACGGCGTAAATAAAGTTTTGCAAAATGAATAAGAAGAAAAAATTGTTTCTTTACATGAAAGGAACCATTATTAACAACTCCTGAAAATTTCAATTTCCTGTTACAAATTTAAGTTGGAAAAAAATATAATTTGGAATTAAAAATATAAACTTTCGGGAAACATGCTTTAAACATGCCACCCTCCGATCAGGCCAGCTCGATAAATGATCATACGAGGACGCCAGCTTGCCTCATCAAAGTAAATATTTTCCAATAATTTTTTAGACTTTTTTATTTTTGTTAGCTTCACAACATAGTCTTCAATTTACTTTCAGCACGTCTAAGTCTTACAGTATTTATGCGCTACATTGTGGAACAATATCTAAAAGAATTGGAGTCAACACCTAAGCCAATGAGAGGATTTCACATATGCAGAGGTGTTTCAAAAATAGGGGGCAGGATTTCAGGTGTTTATTCCCCATTCTAGACAATAAAGATA